CATCCATCGGTCGCCTCCCCCGTGACCCTGACCAGTGCCGGGGACCAAAGTGCAACAGAGGCATGTGCCCTTGACCACAATCGAACTCATGACTCTTTGGTCCAAGGGCCAACGCTCCAACCCCTGAGCCAAACCGGCCATGGCTAATATATATATTTATATTAATATATATATATAAATATATATATATTTTTAATAATCCTCATCCAAGGATAATTTTCTATCTTCAGATAGAGTGGGAGGAAGGGAGAGAGAGGAAGAGAGAGGGAAAGAGAGAGAAACATCCATGTGAGAGGAATACATCCACTGGTTGCCTCCCACACAACCCCGACCAGGGCTGGGGACCAACCACAACCAAGGTACATGCCCTTGTCCGGCTGGTGTGGCTCAGTGGCTGAGCATCGATTCATGCACCAAGAGGTTGCCGGTTCGATTCCTGGTCAGGACACATGCCCAGGTTGTGGGCCAAATCCCCAGTCGGGGGCATGCAGGAGGTGGCCAATCGATGTTCTCTCTCATCAATGTTTCTATCTCTCTCTCCCTCTCTCTCTAAAATCAATAAAGAAAAAAAATTTTTTAAAGGATTATCCTAGGCGAAATAAGCCAAGCACAGAAAGACAAATATCACATGATCTCACTTATTTGTGGAAATACAATGAACATAACAGTCTGAGAAACGGGGTAGTCCCAGAGATGTGGAAGTGGGGTACAGACTGACAATCCCCAGAGGAGGGGGTGGGGAGAAATAAACCACAGAACTTATATGCATGTATGCATGAACAATGGACATGGACAACAAAGCTTGGGACAGGGCGGGGAGGGGGGGAGGGGTTATCAATGGGGGGAAAAGGAGAAACATCTGTAACAAAAATAAATAATTAAATTTAAAAAAAGAAAGAAAAAAGGTACATACCCTTGATCGGAATCAAACCCAAGACTCTTTGGTCTGTGGGCTGCCGGTCTAATCACTGAGCCAAACCAGCCAGGGCCATTATTATAATGTTAATGAGTCACCCTGCCCCCATCTATTCCACATTAACTTGTCCCATGTCTTTTAGCCATGACACTTAAAAAGTGGGGATAGGACATGCTTCTTGACTCATATCTTTTTATATAGATATATATGTATACATATATGTGTATGTGTGTGTGCGTGTGTTTTTTTTAATCCTCATCCAAGAATATTTTTCCATTTATCTTCAGACAGAGTGGGAGGGGAAGAGAGAGAGAGAGAGAGAGAGAGAGAAACATGAATGTGAGAGAAACATATCGATTGGTTGCCACTCGCACGACCCCATCCAGGGCCAGGGACAAACTGTAACCAAGGCAAGTGCCAAGTGCCCTTGGCCGGAATCAAACCTGGGACTCTGGTCCACAGGTCGACGCTCTAACCAGCTAGGGCCATATATATACATATATATATATATATATATATATATATATATATATATTTTTTTTTTTAGAGAGAGAGAGAGAGAAAGGGAGAGGGAGAGAGAAAGAGAAGCACTGATGTGAGGATGTGCGAGGGGAACATTGATTAACTTGGTTGCCTTCTGCCTAACCCTTATAGGGGATCAAGCCTGCAACTCAGGCATGTGCCCTCACTGGGAGTCGAACCCAAAACCTTTCAGTGCATGGGACGACACACAACCAACTGAGCCACACCAGCCAGGGCTTGACTCATATCTTTTTTTAAAAAAATATGTTCTTCTTGATTTTTTAGAGAGATAGACACATCAATCAGCTGCCTCCTGCACGCCCCCTACTGGGGATGGAGCTGGAAACCTAGACCTCTCAGTCCATGGGACCATGCTCAATTTACTGTGCCACACCAGCCAGGTGACTCATATCTTTAATATAGTTAAGGCATAGCTAAGACTCCTCTAACCCAGGTTCAGATAGAGTGGGAGGGGGGGGAGAGAGAGAGAAACATCAATGTGAAAGAGACATCGACTGGTTGCCTCCCACATGACCCTGACCAGGGCCAGGGACAAACCACAACAAAGGTATATGCCCCTGACTGAAATTAAACCCACGACTATTTGGTCTGCGGGCCAATGCTCTAACCATTCAGCCAAATCAGCCAGGAACAATAAATATTTTTTAAAAGATACATTAATTTCCTCAAGAGTAGGGGCAGTATGATACTTTTTTTTTTTTTTTATCCTCACTCAAGGATATTTTTCCATTTTTTGTTCAGATAGAGTGGGAAGGAGAGAGAGGAAGAGAGAGAGAAACATAGACGTGAAAGGGACACATTGAGTGGCTGCCACCTGCACGACCAACCAGGGCCAGGGCAAACTGCAACCGAGGCACGCGCCCTTAGCGGGAACCAAACTTGGGTCTCTCTGCACCGCAGGTCGACACTCTAACCACTGAGCAAAACCGGCCAGGGCAGTATGATACTTTTTTAATGCATCTCCCATATAATGCCCCAAAGTGATCAATAAGTATTTATTGATTCCAGCACTGTTGATGGACAAGGTTTTCAGTAGATTCTCTTTCCATCCCACTCTCCCAATTTTGTCTGTTAGAGGCAGAATTTCAGGCTATGTAGACTTTGCGTCATCAGGGTCTACCACTAGGGCAAAACTACTGGACCTGTATACCCCAAAGGGAGCTGCAGACCTTGGTTAACCTATCAAGCAATGATATTTGCCCACTTCTCCCAACTGTTAGTAAATAACTCCCTTTAGCTGGATGCAGAGGAGATTCAAATAAATAATTCTAGATGAGTTTGCCTACCCTCTGGTGCACACTCTGCCTGTATCCCCTTGAAGGGAGTAAGTCTTTGCAGGGGAACTCACTTTAGATGTAATATGGCTCCAGCAGCAAAGGCATCAGGGAAATGTTGGACTGTCTAACTCTCTGTGACTATTCAACTCTGTAGCCTCAGGCTTGGCTGACTACCCAGAAAACTGAAATTGCCGCCCAAAGATAAATGTCATGCCCCCAGAAAGGAGGTTAATGAATGTATAGAGTGCGATAACTGTCTGATGTCATCTGTTAATTTAGGAATGCATTGTTCTTTCTAGTGGTCTGCGGGACTACCCACAATATGGTTTTACTATTAACCCCTATAAAAAAGAGACCATGGCCCTGGCCAGTTTGGCTCAGCGGTTAGAGCGTCTGCCTGCAGTCCAGAGAGACCTGGGTTCGGTTCCCGCTAAGGGCACATACTTCGGTTGCAGTTTGTCCCCGGCCCTGGTTGGGTCGTGCGGGTGGCAGCCACTCAATATGTCCCTTTCATGTCAATGTTTCTCTCTCTCTCTTCCTCTCTCTCCCTCTGGCTCTATCTAAACAAAGAATGGAAAAATGTCCTCCGGTGAGGATAAAAACCGGATTAGAAAAAGAGAGAGAGAGAGACCATGGCCCGGCCAGTTTGGCTCAGCAGTTAGACCAATGTGTTACGGGTTTGATTCTAGTCAAGGGCATGTACCTCGGTTGTGGTTTGTCCCCAGCTATGGTCAGGGTCGTGCGGGAGGGTCATGTGGGAGGCAACCAGTCGATGTATCTCTCTCACATGGATCTCTCTCTCTCTCTTTCTTTTCCCCACCCTTTTCCTCCCTCCCACTCTATCTGATGATAAACAGAAAAATGTACTCTGGTGAGGATTAAAATAAAACAAAAAAAAGAGACCCTGTCCTGGGAGGGTGTGGATTTTTCCTGGCTGGCCACCACTGGAAGCAGCTGCCTTGCCTTTATATTTAAGTCTTACCTATTAACACTCTTATTCATTTGAGTAAGGCTGCATGTCAGTTCTCTGGAATCAATCCTCAATTTAGACTTTTGGAGTTTTCCCCCAACAGCCTTCACAGAGAACTTATAATTTCAGCATAGGTGACTATTTTCCCATGCTAGGTCCCTGAGCCAGCCTCTCTCTATATCTTCTTCAGGGAGCCATTTACTGAACTGCTTCTCTCTCCTGGCTTCTTCTAAGGGAAGGTGTGAAGGCAGGATTGCTCCAAGTATTCTCTACTCTACTAGGCTTCTCAATGGCTTGGTGAAGGTGTTTCCAACTCCTTTCCTTCTAGATCGCCCAACCAATTTACCCCTAGACTCATCTTGATAGAGACCCCAACATCTTATAACTTCCTCTTTTATAAATTCTTACTTGATCTCCCTTCAGTTTTAGTTAAATTCGGTGGTAATAGTAAAATAATTTATATATATATATATATTTTTTAAATCCTCCAGCAACTAAATGACTTGTCCCCAACTTCCAGCCCTCTTTTCTCATAACCAAAATATCCTAGAGCAGTGGTTCTCAACATTCCTAATGCCGCGATCCTTTAATACAGTTCCTCATATTTTGGTGAATCCCAACCATAAAATTATTTTTGTTGCTACTTCATAACTGTAATTTTGCTACTGTTATGAATCGCCATCAGAAATATGTGTTTTCCGATGGTTTTAGGCGACCCCTGTGAAAGGGTGGAACCCACAGGTTGAGAACCGCTGTCCTAGAGCCTTTGTGTTTTCAGTACAAGCCCCACTGGAATGTCTTTGAGCTCCACCGTTTACGTCTAGAAAAGCTTTGAATATAGCAAGAGGGTAAGGGCATGCTGACATCTGTTCATCAGCAGGCCAGAAATGATGACTTCAATTTCCTTCCTTATTTCATTTATTCCCAGGCTGATCCCTCCCCACCTTCATAGGGAGGTTCTTTTTTTTTTTCCAGATGAGCCAAGCATTTTATTTAATTACAACAAGGGCGCTCACCTATTCTCCACTTAAAGCAACATTCAGGCCTATACTGGGAACACGGCCTCTACGGCGCCCAGAATGTCCTTTGCCCAGTCCTGGAGCTGCCAGCTCTGAAATCACAGCTGATCCGTGCACTGCAGGAAGCTAAAGGAGCCTCCACCCACGTCGCCGCATTTCTCATGATCCCCTGTTTTCCATCATCACCCATTGGGACAGTGAGTCCAACTTCGCAGACATTTGAGAAATCGACCTTTGTGCTGCAACCCCGCACCCTCCGCGGTTTTAAGAGTGAAGAATGTTACTTGTCCAAGTCAGAATCTGATACCAATGACATGGTGACAGCTTTGCCAACAAACAAGAAAATGCTCTTCCCTGGCTAGGAAGGAGACTGCCACAGCCAGCAGGTCCCAGAGACACAGGGAGCATAGGGCGGTTCTTCTTTCTTTCTTTTACTTTTTTTTTCTCCCTATATTCATTTTAGAGAGAAAAAGGGAGAGGGAGAGAGAGATAGAAACATCAATGAGAGAGAACATCGATCGGCCACCTCCAGAACGCCCTCCACTGGGGATTTGGCCCACAACATGGGCATGTGCCCTGACTGAGAATCGAACCAGCAACCTGTTGGTGCATGAGTCGATGCTCAACCACTGAGCCACACCAGCTGGGCAGGGCAGTTCTTATTTCAGAGTCAAAGTAATGAAGTTGTTCTCCATTCTTAATTATATGTATATTTCCTCCTCCTTATCATATATACCCCTCATGCCCTCTCTTCTACTTTTTCCCATCACTTTCCTTTTTTCCCTTTGTCACCTCTCCCTCACCCCTTCCAGAGGGCATTCAGGGTCATGATCTTTCCTCAAAATCCTACACTATTCCTAGAATCTTCTGAAATTGTTCTTAGTTGGGTTGGTGATCACAGTGCTAAACACATAGTTTATGATACACTTTGTAATTGCTGATTTTCTTCTTTCAATGTCCCAGGCTATCCATCTATCAGAGATGACTCTAAAAAAACCTGCTATCCTAGAGACTATTGAAAAAATCCCAAGGGGATTCATGGGCCATAACCTGGCTGGGTTTATCCTTCCCCATCTCCAAGATGGGCTGGCCCCAAATATCAAGGCACTGGCTCTACAGACTAGGTCTTGATTAAGAGCCAAGAATTCAGCCCTGGCTGGTTTGCTCAGCGGTTAGAGCACCGGCCTGTGGACCAAAGAGTTTCGGATTTGATTCTGACCAAGGGCATGTACCTTGGTTGCACCTCGTCCCCGACCTCTCTAGGGCCGTGCAGGTGGCAACCAATCAATGTGTCTCTCTCACATGGATGTTTCTATCTCTCTCTCTCCCTCCACTCTGTCTGAAGATAAATGTAAAAATATTCAAGGATTAAAAAAAAAGAGAGCGAGCCAAGAATTCTGTGGGGACAGCCCTTCTGTAGGCACCTGCACAGTCATTCCTCTGTTGGCATCCTTTGACATCCTTGGGCAATAAATACAAAGGTACACAGTAGAGCATGTGGGGTAAAACATGGGTTTTGGAATAGAAACTTGAATTTAAGTTCTGTCTCAACACTTACCACCTACATGAATTTGGTTAAGATACTCAACTTCTCTATGCCTTAGTTGTAAAGTAACAGTACCTCCCTGGTTGGAAGGACCAAAAGAGAACATACTATATGTAAAGCATTTAATGCAATGCCTGGTACATGAGAGCACCCAATAAATGTTAGAAGTTATTGTGATCATATATGAATAGACATCAATAAGTCAGATAAACTGTTCAAACCCATTACAGGCTTTCACACAAAGATATACAGCCTTACTTTCTTTCTTTCTTTTTTTTTTTTTTAAAGTATTGCCTCTAGGACTTGTGTTAATGAATTGCTAGAAAGGAGCAATTTATAAGTACCATATTGCTGGAATGCAAATTGATACTTCAAAGAGGTGAAAAGTGAGTTGTTTTCTTGAGTGGAATAAACATTCCCTTTGGGATCTTGTTTGTTTACAAATTCAACTATTTGTAAGCAACTAAGATGAACTCAAATGAGGTTTTACTCTATCAAAAAGGTGTCACTCACCTGGCCGGTTTGGTTCAGCGGTTAGAGCCTCAGCCTGCGGTCCAGAGAGACCCGGGTTTGGTTCCCGCTAAGGGCGCGTACCTCAGTTGCAGTTTGTCCCCAGCCCTGGTTGGTTGTGTGGGTGGCAGCCACTAGATGTGTCCCTTTCATGTCGATGTTTCTCTCTCTCTCTCATTTCCTCTCTCTCCCTCCCACTCTATCTGAACAAAAAATGGAAAAATGTCCTCAGGTGAGGATAAAAAAAAAAAGGTGTCACTGCTCAAATGAAATGCCCTAATTTTTTTTTTTTCTTTTTTGGTACATGCCTCTAGCGGGAACCAAACCCGAGACTCTCTGGTCCGAAGGCCAACACTCCAACCGCTGAGCCAAACTGGCCAGGGCTGAAATGCCCTAATTTCAAAAGCACAAAGAAAAATGTCTATCTTGAAGTTTTCCTTGTATACATCTTTATTCTAATTTTGTAAAATATTGGATAATGGCCAACCTACTGCACAAATACAATTTTCAATTACCCATGAGTGAGTTATCCAAGGCAGATATCTAACCAACTCTGTTTGCTTCTTTCTGTTCTATCTACCCTTTATCTTTAAAGCCCTCCGAACACACACATACACACACTCATACACTAACAACACACACTCTCACAGATACACACACTCACACACACACACTCATATCCTATTTTGCCCAAAGCAAGCAAAGCCCAGAACTGTCTATTCTGGTGGTTACAGAAAATATTGGTCCCTAGAAAAAGCATCTTTGTTTCTGTTCTCCCCTCACTGCAGGTCTTGAGGAGCAGGGAGTGAAGGGAAGAAAAGAAGAAGGAAAGGAAATTGTGGTATGTGTCCTGCAGCCCAGCAGTGCAGGCTGTGAGGAACAGAAGGCTCCTGTTCCCTGTGTGCTGGCATCTCTCTTGCCATTTTACTGAAACTTTGGGGTGTTTTTTTCTCAGCAGCACCCACGCTCCTCCTTTTCTGCCAAAGCTCCTTGTGACAGAATGAGAGGCTAGTGGGTTGGGCAGAGTGGAATGTAGCTGGATAGCCTGAGGGTGGAGTTATAGCTCTTCCTCCAGGAGCAGGAAAGGTGGGGGGAGATAAAGCTACACACAAATCCTAGAAGACCCCCTAGTGCTGAGCCTCATACATGCCTAGAGCATCTGTATACACACAGAGTTGTGCACTGGCCCCCTCGTCATATAGACACACACACACACACACACAAACACCACGACTGCAACTTGGCAGGCACAACCATGCATTCAGTAATACTCAGACAGGAAATCCCATATCACACTGGCATAGATCTGTTAAAAACAACACATGCCCCAGGTTCCCCTCCTTTGATCCCTTTTCTTTCTGATGGGCCAGAGAATGCTACTGGGTGCTGGGTATTCTTGCGGTATAAGAGATTGGCAAGTCGAGTGCATGGGCTAGTTTGTTATCACTTGGCTCTTCAAACAGAAGCAACATCAGTGGCAGGGCCAGCAGACCACTCAACCATCTCCTCAGTAGTCTCTACTCAGAGCACCCATGGGCTCCTTCCCAGGACTCCCAGAAGCACACCCTGGAAAACAGAGACCCAAGTTCTGGTTAGGGGGCAGAGAAAGCTTGCACTACAGCCCATAGGTTGCACCTCCTCACTCCCCTCAGGCTTAGCTGATATCCTGAGCTTGTCTGAGGGAGAGGCCCTCTATATTAAGGAAGGAAAATGGATCCAAATAACTCAAAACTCCAGAAGAACCAGCCAATGAAAGTCAATTGATCCATCTGGATGTCAGGCTACAACACAGAGGACCGAATAAACATTGCCAGGCTAGACCCTGATCAGGAAAGTCAAAAGAAGGTTCTCAACTGTGTGAGATGAGGTTTTATGGCTAGGCTGCAGGTAGCTAGTCTAAGACAGAGTCAAACTTTCTCCTTCCTATCCACTGCTGGGCAAATACACTGCCTTTCCACCTCCCTAAATCCTTTTCTTTATTAGGCATCTACAATATTCCTTGTACTTTATTCACATTATTGTTATTATTATTATTATTATTACTATTATTATTATTTTGTTAATCCTTACCCAAGGATATTTTTTCCATTGATTTTTTTTTTTAGAGAAAATGGAAAGGAGGAAGGTAGGGGGAAAGAGAGAGAGAGAATCATCGATGTGTGTGTTGCCTCTCACACAGGCCCTGACCAGAGCCGGGTATTGAACCTGGGTTGCTCTGGTCAGGGCCTGTGTGAGAGGCAACTACGTGCCTTTGACCAAAAATCAAACCCTTGACCCTCTGGTGAGTGTGCCAATGCTCTAACCACTAGGGTACACCGGCCAGGGCTATGCCCATTATTTTAATTTAAATAACTCCACAACTATTGTTATAGAGAAAGTTGAGAAAAATTGAAGTTCAGGGACTTTACGTGAGTTGATCAAGATACCATGGCTAGCAAGTGAAGGAGCCGTTATTCACCCCCATGCCTGGGTGACTCCAAAACCCTTGCCCTTTCCACTGTTTCTCAAAAGCACTCCATTGGGGACCCGCCCATCTGCCTCTGAGTAAGTGTAAGACTGTGTCTGGTGGCGAAGATAGTGTTGAAGTAGTTAGAAGAGCAGGAATATTCCTGTTGACCTTCTTCCAAGGAAGAAAAAAAGCCTAAGTCTCCTGACACTCGACTCAACCACCAAGCACTGTGGGTTGAGTGCAGCTCCCCTGGACAGGGGCTGGCCCTGAGTAGGCAGTGCCCAGTGGCATGGGTGATTCATCTACAGCTGTTTACTTTCGGGATCCCACGCTTTCTTGGCCAGCGTGCTGCATGGCTGCAAAAAGCCCAGCCCTGGACACGCAGAGAATGTGTTGATTCAGAAAGTTTTCAAAAAGTAATCAGCACATGGTAATGCAGGCTGTCTGTTCAGGGCAATGTGCTGCCTAAGTTTTAATGTGCCAAACTCCCTCCTTCCCCTTCCCGCAATTTCTCTCCCTCCCCAGGTCCTGGCTGTGACCCATGTCATTCTGGCAGTGAGCAGTTAGTTGCTTCCTGATTCCCTCAAGGATGACTATTTGCAAAGTTCAACTTCCCAACTGCGCAGCTTCCCCAGGTGTGTGTGTGTGTTATCTTCCTCCTAAACTGAAAAGCGGTGAATCCACTGGCTTCTCTACTTTTTTGGAACCTGTCAGGAGGACAGGTACTTGGTTTCAATTTCAAATCTGCTTTCAGGGAGCAGGTATCAGCAGCTACTCCTTGAGGTAAGAACTATGGGGTGGACTTTCTTGAAAATGACCAAATCTGAGCCCTGGCCAGTTTTGCTCAGTGGTTAGAGCGTCAGCCTGTGGACCAGAGAGACCCAGGTTCAGTTCCCACTA